GGTTGGTCCTGCTTTGAGCAAGGGGTTGGACTAGATGACCTCCTGGGGTCTTTTCCAACCCTAATCTATGATTCTATGATATTTACTGTACTTTCCACCCTATCTCCTCCAGCTCACTGAAAACAACCTTTCTTCTGTTTTTAAAACACATCTGAACTCAGAGGTGTGTGAAGATGAGAATGAATAGAAAGGAAAGGTTAACCAACAAAAGTATAACTGGGTTCAAAAAAGATTTGTATATGTTCACAGAGTATAGGTCCATCAATGGCTATTAGCCAAGATGGTCAGGGACGTAACCCCATGCTCTAGGTATTCCTTAGCCTCTGACTGCCAGAAGCTGGGACTGGACAATGGGATGGATCCCTCAATAAATTGCTCTGTTTTGTTTATTCCCTCTGAAGCATCTGGCCCCTAAGCACTGTTGGAAGAGAGGATACTGGTCTTGATGGACAATTTGGTCTGACCCAAAATAGGCATTCTTATGTTCAATACAGTAGTTTACAGAACCGCAGTAATGATTCAGGTTCACTCTCTGGTGATAGGTCTGGTTGGTTCTTATTTTATTTGAACCAGTTTGCCCTTCCCTAGTGCAAGTGTACACGTTCCCATAGCAAAGCATGCAATCACTATGGCCTGGAGCAATAGCTTCTCTCTCTTATCAATCCTGGAAGTAGGTATATGTAGACGAGGTTCTGACCAGAATCAGAAGTGTGAAAACAGCAGGACAAACACAATGGTGTTTCTGGTCCAACAGAAGAGGAAGTTTTAATAATCTTAGAAGAGTGTCTTTTCTTTCAAGATTATTATTAGCCTAATTTTGCAAACTCAGGAAATTTGGATGTGGAGCGACATACTCGAGTATTTGTGTATTTGTGCAAATTACACTGAGGAATCCATAGCTTCACCCTTTCATTTACACTCACTTTCTCCTTTCGTTGTTAATCAAGGACCATTTACCCAGATACCTGGAGGACCTTTGAAAGCATATGCGCCTTTTCCTTAGGGATTATTCATCAGTTTGGGACACAGGGGAAGGGGTATGTCCAGCAGCCGCAATCTTCTCTGGATCTGAGCACTGTCTGTTTAGCAACTGGAAATTACAAAAAAGTTCCAGTCTCCAACCGCAAGCGAGTGCAGTCCTGTGTGACAGACTTAAAATGGACCTTATGGAATCCATGGACTATAAATGAAAATGAAACGCTGCCTATTTATTGCATAACCATGAAGCAACAATTAATGCAACGCTAATTCTTCCAGTGATGAAGTGCAACAAAGGATAAAAATACTTACTTAAGTGAGGATTGACTGGAGCTGGAAGAAAGACAGAAAAGAACACAATTAGTGTCATTGGAAAGCCTTTTTAAAAGCGGTACTCTACTCATCCTACATCTTCCCCTGGGGGCCATCTAAGAACACAGATGATTGCATACGGCTAGGGTCAGCACCACAACCACCGTCCTGCTCTTTAATGATCTAAAGACATCGGCACGGAGTAATGGGAGATAGTCCTCCTTTCCAGGGATGAGTATACTCTTCCACAACGCACACAGTCAGGCATCAAACCTAGCCCCTCACACCTATTTTAAGGAAGAAAGCTACTGTCCAGCTAACAGCAGGCTGATGTCCTATTGCTGAAGCCAACACATGATAGAAAATGGGTAAAATTGAGCGTGCAGAGGTTTCACATTAGACTCTGTTCATCCCTTAATGTGCGGCCCTAGCAGTGCGCTGGATTACAGGGAACGTCACCTGTAATGAATCCATTCTCATGTGTTTAAAAATGCTGCCATGTGAAATGTCAACAGCCTAAATCACACTTCCCATCTTACATTGGTTCAGGTTTCTTTAAATGCAGGGTGCAAAGGGGAGGGGAGGGTCAGGCTCCCCCCGGCTGCTGACCAGAGCTGGGTGGCACAGCGGCCAGGGCTGGCTCTGGCTTTTTGGCCCCCCCAAGCAAAAAAAAAAAATAAAAAAAAATAGGGGCGGCCGGAGGGAGGCGAGCGGGCGGGAGAGAGAGAGGAAGGGGGCGGCCAGGTCTACAGCAGGGGCGCTGCCACACGGCCCCTCCTGCTGCGCCGCCTCCTGCCGCCTGCCACGAGGGCTCCGCTCCGGTCGGCGGGGAGGGAAGGAAGAGGACTGCCCCTGCAGGGCGCTCTGGTTCTCCACGCCGCCGACCCCTACAGGGCGGCCGGAGCGGAACAAGAACAACAACAACAACAAAAAGCGGCCGTGCCGCCCTAGGATTGGGCAGAATGCCGCCTCTAACAATCTGCCACCCCAAGCACCAGCTTGCTCAGCTGGTGCCTGGAGCCGGGCCTGACAGCAGCAGAGCCCCTTCCTGGCAGGCATGATGGAGGGGCAGCCAGGGCAAATTTCAGTGGTGTTGCAACCCTGTGTGCGTCCCCCCCCCACACACTTTGCAGTCCTTTAAGTGCCATGGGCAACAGGCACCCCCAGCCTCTGGGAGGAGTGGAGCAGGGGGCACTGGGCATCCCAGCCTCCAGGAGGGTTCGGAAGATTGGATCTGGGCTTTTAACGCTTCCTGGGGAAGTGGAGACACAGACAGAGGATGTGGTCAAAGGCTCCCAGAACTGCCTGGCCCCTCCTGGGATGCTGTCCATCAGCCTGTCCATCTCTCGGTGTGAGACTATGGGGTTGGATGTGGGGCAGGGAGACTGCAGGGCTGAGTGCAGGGTGCAGAGCTCGGGGCTTCGGGGGGAAAGAATGTGGGGCTGGGTGTGGGACAGCAGGAGGAGAGTGTGGAGCTGTGGGTACAGAGAGGACAGCATGCGTTTTTGGTGCAGAGGCAGCATGAGAGAGCTCGGGGCTGGGGGGAGGGAAGAGTGTGGGGCTTGGGAGAGTTGATAGCTCTGGGCCCCTTCCTTAGAGAAATTCCATTTGCATGAAGTTTTATGTCAGAAAAACACGCTGGGAAACAAACAGAACTTGTAGCATTCCCAAAAGCACCCATTTGACTTTCAAACAATAGCAGGGGGAACATACAGAATTTCTTTGTAGTCAAAGACGAAGTAATATAAAGAAAGTATTCTATTCTATAAACCAGTACACGCCACTTCTAGGTATATCATTGTTCACTAGTTACATGATATACTTACCTTTAAAACAATAAAGGATTGACAGCTATTGGCCAGGATATTAATAAAATACAGTCTGAAATGCATTATCCCAGTGTCCTCTCTATGATCCTCCAGGTACAATATATGCATATCAGAGAAGGATTATAAACTTGGAAGGTTAAGGCAGTAATTTTATAAAATATTACAGTAATTACTCTGCTAATCCCCACAGATCCAAAGTAGGATGATAAGGCACAGTGATTTTAAGTCTCAGAGAATGGTAGATAAACTTGGGTTCAAGATCTGGTGTGTAATTGCTTTGAACTCCTTTGGATCCATATCCCTTTTCCCATCTATAATTCGACAATTCCGCAATGTCGTATTTTTAATGGAGTAGGGATGAAATTCACCCCTGCCGAGAGGGTCAGCACCATGCCTGTGCATCACTGAAGACCTCAAAATAAGGCTGAAGTGGGAATTAGATGGTGCATAGGCCATGTGCTGGCCACGCGCACAGGAGAGGATTTCAGCCGGGTTATTTAGGAAACAGAGACCTGTTCCTGTAATCATGAGGGATTGTGGTTTAGGCCCAGAATCAGAAAGGAACAATTATCTAAAGAAACTCTGCAATCTAATTCTGGCTCCAGACGATGTTTGATGAAACCTTGTATCCCTACTGTACTGCAGATATGCAGATGAAGGCTTTGTTAATAACAGACTTCTACCCAATTATTACTCCACGTGTTGATACTACTAGTCACCTGCTCTGTTTATGGACATAAACACTTTGCGTCTGACCTTCCCTCATGAGTTATATTTAGTTGCAGATTCAACCTGACATTTAAAAAAAACCCTCCATTTAGTAGCTCTGCCATTTTATCTCACTTTACCTAAAAGAATGATCTGTGATTTGCCAGAGGAACTTAGTCGTTAACTTCCATTAGATAACCTCACGAGCATTTGTTAAAAAAAAAATTACCTTTCACTCTTCAAGAAACATTCATTTTCTTGTGCTTCTTGAGTGGTTGAACTCAGAATTAGCTGAAATTGCTAGAAACTGCATTTAGTGATGCTTGCTTTGTAATTGTATAGAGAAGCTTTTATAGAAACTACCATTAATGGGTCACCTTGAGCCATGCTAGTCAGACTGCTCTGAGTACAGCACCCAGACCGAAAAGGGCTGGCTGCCAAGCCAGCGTCAGCTCAGACTGATTGACAAAAGCAGAATAACAAATTAAGCTATGGTTAGGCTGAACTTACTTGCATGTGGTGAACTGGCAGAAAAGCTCTCTCCTAAGTAATGCAGCAAGTAGCTATAAAACAGGGGCACATGATTCTCAAATTCTCATTTCTGAAAGGTCGGATTGCTGTGTGAACCAGAAGTAGTATGTAAAATTAGCCATGAAAGGAAACTAATGGATGACTGAAGGACTACATTCCTGAGGTTGAGTTTGAACTGTCTAGAAAATCTTTAATGTTCAGAGTTATATCCATTCTTCGGTGAAATCTTCGGTGAGCTTAAACTCAAAAAGGAAGCTTACAAGAAGTGGAAATTTGGATAGCTGTCTAGGGAGGAGTATAAAAATATTGCTAGAGCATGCAGGGGTGTCATCAGGAAGGCCATGGCACAATTGGAGTTGCAGCTAGCAAGGGATGTGAAGGATAACAAGAAGGGTTTCTACAGGTATGTTAGCAACAAGGTGGTCAGGGAAAGTGTGGGGCCCTTACTGAATGGGGGAGGCAACATAGTGACAGATGATGTGGAAAAAGCTGAAGTATTCAATGCTTTTTTTGCCTCAGTCTTCACGGACAAGGTCAGCTCCCAGACTGCTGCACTGGGCAGCACAGTATGGGGAGGAGGTGAGCAGCCTTCAGTGGTGAAAGAACAGGTTAAGGACTATTTAGAAAAGCTGGACATGCACAAGTCCATGGGTCCAGATCTAATGCATCCAAGGGTGCGGAGGGAGTTGGCTGATGTGGTTGCAGAGCCATTGACCATTATCTTTGCAAATTCATGGCGATTGGGACAGGTCCTGGACAATTGGAAAAAGGCAAATATAGTGCCCATATTTTAAAAAGGGAAGAAAGAGAACCTGGGGAACTACAGACCGGTCAGCCTCACTTCAGTCTCCAGCAAAATCATGGAGAAGGTCCTCAAGGAATCCATTTTGAAGTACTTGAAGGAAGGTGATCAGGAACAGTCAACATGGATTCACCAAGGGCAAGTCATGCCTGACCTACCTGACTGTGTCTATGATGAGATAACTTGGTCTGTGAGCTTAAACGTCTATGATGAGATAACTGGCTCTGTGGATATGGGGGAAACGGTGGATGTGATATATCTTAACTTTAGCCAAGCTTTTGATATGGTCTCCCACAGTATTCTTGCCAGCAAGTTAAAAAAGTATGGATTGGATGAATGGACTATAAGGTGGATAGAAAGCTGGTTAGATTATCAATGGGTAGTGATCAATGCCTCGATGTCTATTTGGCAGCCGGTATCAAGCGGAGTTCCCCAGGGGGTCGGTCGTGGGGCCGGTTTTGTTCAACATCTTTATCAATGATCTGGATGATGGGATTAATTGCACCCTCAACAAGTTCACAGATGACACTAAACTGGGGGAAGAGGAAGCTACGCTGGAGGGTAGGGATAGAGTCCAGAGTGACCTAGACAAATTGGAGGATTGGGCCAAAAGAAATCTGATGAGGTTCAACAAGGACAAGTGCAGAGTCCTGCACTTAGGAAGGAAGAATCACATGCACTGCTACAGGCTGGGGACCGACTGGCTAAGCAGCAGTTCTGCAGAAAAGGACCTGGGGATTATAGTGGACGAGAAGCTAGATACATCTCTACCCCGATATAACGCTGCCCTCGGGAACCAAAAAATCTTACCGCGTTATAGGTGAAACTGCATTATATCTAATTTGCTTTGATCCACCGGAGTGCACAGTCCCACCCCTCCGGAGCTCTGCTTTACCGCGTTATATCTGAATTTGTGTTATATCGGGTCGTGTTATATCGGGGTAGAGGTGTATGAGTCAGCAGTGTGCCCTCGTTGCCAAGAAGGCCAATGGCATATTGGGCTGTATTAGTAGGAGCATTGCCAGCAGATCAAGGGAAGTGATTATTCTCCTATATTCGGCACTGGTGAGGCCACACCTGGAGTATTGCATCCAGTTTTGGTACCCACACTATAGAAAGGATGTGGACAAACTGGAGGGAGTCCAGTGGAG